TAATAATATTTCGATAATTATATAAAAAATAATAATAATCCGTTAATACTCGGGGAAATTTGCAACTGTGGCAAAATCCGTCTTTCACCCTGTAATCTTTCCGTGATATATTAATATGATAAATTTTCTGGTGAAAATATGGAATTTTAAATCACGGATCGGTTTCCTTTACATGTTATGCATAACGAACTCATTAAAATATGCGATGATTATATCGTATTGAGTATTTTATACCTGCAAGCGAATTTTATTTACAGGCAGGACCAGAATTAGCAAATGGCCCCTATTCTATTATAATTTTGACCAAGTCATTGAAAAAATGGCAAATGACCATGTAATTTGCCAATTCTGGACAAGATTTGATTTTTATGATGATAGTTACGGATCTAATATATAGTGCTAAATTGGTGATTGTTAGATGTTTGGAAAGTGAGAGGGTCTAATACAAGTGACTTGAATGATTGCGAAAAATATCTTGGTAACGCTATGATGATAACCTTTTCGAGTATAACTATTAATAAAATAAAGAAATAATATAAATTCCAAAAGTTTGGTAAACATAACATTTATTAATGTTAGTACTAAATTATTGCTAATTTGGACGAAGATGAATTTTGGCTGAAAAATAAATACTATCTAAAAAAGTAAAGTCAAATCGACCATTGAGCTTGAAGAACATGATGGCAATAGAAAATTCATGATATCCGAGGGGATTTTGATGGAAGACTTATTGAACTCTTCCATGCTCACGGAATCAAAGATCAACAAAAGCTACAAGAAAAAAGAGGGTAGACGGCACTGACTCACCCTTCAGAAATCGGGACATTTTGTGAATATAAAAGCAGCGAAAGAAGGCTGAGTATCATGAGCATTAACTAACAATGTGCACGAGTTTTCACCATTGCATACAAACTGCACTTCTTCCAAAGAGATTTTTTCCCTTATACAGCTCATGTTTTCTCAAAAGGCTTTACGTATATGTTCCTTCATGTCCCCTAGAATCAATAATAACAACAAAATTTGCTTGAAAATTTCACGGGTGCATACAACTGAGCATAAATAGGAACTTTACTAGTGTAAATTCCATTTCCATATGTTGCACCATTTGTACTTGTAATGACTCTTGCTTGACTCTGCTAACGACCCAGCATTTCAAACCATTCTCCGGGTGTGTAACGTGATTAGCTGATAAGTCCAATCGTAGTTACAACATATGTGTTTTCCTTGGTTCAACACAAACTTGGAACAATTTGATGGTCTCAAGTATCCATGTCCACCACAAGTCTCGAAAATGGCAATAACTTGACTTGTAAAAAACAATTATCCTCATGACTAAATAAAGCTCCATCTAATTTTAAATATTCTTTAAGAATTTTATTGGACAATTTATAACCTGAATTTCGTTCGAGAGATCTTCGTTGCATTCTGAATAAAAGAGTCCTTGGATATAATTTTTAATTATTTTGTAATTATTATGACGCGGTTCTAGTTCAATATGTCGTAAACAGGATTGATTAATTAACATTAATTGGCGCATATTAACGAATTTTAAGAATCTGAAAACGTACCGTTTTCACACTCCTTCCATTTAGAGCTAGTTCTTGAGCCTGTACATTTTGAAAATCAACTATTTGTTCCCATAAAATAAAATAAATTCTATGTTATATAGATGGTTACCGAAATTGCATCTTTTTAATATCAACGATCGTCGCCAAAACCAAAGTGCCGAAACTAATTTTTAAATAATATTAAAAAAGTCAAAAGCTATTTCATTGCTTTCTAAAAACAGTTTAGGAAACCATCTATGAATTTTACTCGGGGAAAAAACTGGGGCTGTACTCAAAACCAACCGGTCCTTTTTGACTTTTCAACCGGTTCCAACCGGGATCTATTAATATTTAGTATTGGTATGTTGATTGGAATTCCAAATAAATAAATAAATCAAATTATTTTTAATTCGAAAAATATATTAATATATATGCAGCTATACTAAAAATAATTCCGGTTTGAATCCGGTTGCTATGATCAAACTAGATTTATTATTATTTAAAACTAGAGAAACTGGTACCCATTCCAGATCTTGCTATCTTTTCACGCACCGAACATAATGAATTCATTACCAGTTAAGAGCTCATGTGAATTGTGTTGTACGAGAAAATTTTCCATAAAAACTGGTAATCGCGCAAAAAAAGTCAAATGGCACAACATATTGTTATCGTGCATTCGTTCTTATTCACACACAATATATTTGGAAAAATTTTCAAGTTTAAGAAATTTTCCTGAGGTTTTTTAATTGCTTTGTTTGTGTATTTCCTCTTTTAATACCTACCCTTAATGGTATAGGAAGTAAAATGATATCAAGCACAAAAGAAATGGTTATAATTGTTTATTCATTTGTTTAAAAGGAGTTCGGGTTTGGCAAAAAAAATAATCTTTTACACCCCAACATCCCAAGAATGTCAAGAAGTTAAGGAGTTAAAAAAAAATGGACGTGTAGCAAAGCCATTGTCCAATTCGCTGATCCAAGATAATAATATCATATACGATTATTAAACCCGAAAAACCAAACCTCACAAAATTGGCAGGTGAATGAATCAGAATTGTGAATGCATGCGTAGGTTAAGGATAGTACATAATAATTGCCAATAAAAACTACATTTGAAAAATAATCTGTGCAATGCTGTTACACCAAGCATTTGTAAATCATAAAAAAAAAATCCCCAAATTTATTTTATAATAAATAAAAATATAATATGACGATAATTCCCTCTAGATTAGCTGTAAAAACTGCTACCTCGAGTTCTTTTTTTGAAGCAAGACAAAAGGTTCTTCATTTGTATAGAGATTGGCAAAGAGCGGTAATAAATATTCCAAATTTTTTTTTTAAAATGATTGTTTTTATATAAATACTTCTTGGAAATATAATCAATACAATTAACGTTTAAAAGTATAATTAATAAATACAAGTGTTTTAAAACTTAATCAATATAATATAATATAATATATATATATATATATTATCAATACAATATAATAATAATATTTTGTTTATCAATTTTTATTTTTAATAAAAAGTCAGGCTCCAAAGACAGCATCACTTTTTTTCTTGAATATTCCTGTTTCAGCTATACGTGCCAAGATCAGAGAAGAATTCGAGAAAAATAGATATGTGACTGATTTGGGTGTAATTGATATTTTGATATTTAAAGGTCGTTCTGAATATGAGGAAACTTTGAATGGTTGGAAAATGGAAACTCACGTCATGAGATACTTTTCCAAAGAAGAAGCTCAAACTCAAACTCCAAAACCGTATTCTTTTCTGGAAAAATTTTATGGTAAGTTTGATGATGGATCGATCGATAAGTGAATAAACGGATAGATTATTAATTATTGTCCAATTATCAATTAACAATTATGTAGAGGGAAAAGACTAAAAACAATATATATTTCAAAGTTACAGTAATCTTTCTATCAAAATTAACAAACAACATAAACAAATAAATTCATAATTTATAATAAAATTAAGTTGTTTCTTACTACTATTATTATCAGTCATTGATATTGTGATTAACAGACGGCATATTTATTTTCATTTCTTTTTGTTTCATAATACTCAATATCCTCCGTATAATATTGGTAAAGTAATCAATCCAAAGATATATAGTTCATGCTAAGCTTATAATCTTATTTTCATTTTAGTTGATTTGTTTCACTTTAACCTGACTAACACTCGGGCTTTTTCTTTTCTCAAGTGTTGAATAATTTTAGCTCCTGTTTTTCTAGTTCTTTTAACTTTGGTTTAATTTCATGTCGTGGAACAAAATAAATTATTCTAATTTAAATATATTGTTATCATAATTGCATTTAAAAGTTTTGTGATTCCTTTCACTTTTGGATTGTTTCTTATCCTTCCCAAGTTAAACATAACCACTCTCGTCATTGCTGCAGTGAATTGTGTCATTAGTCAACTTAAATGTTTCACAATCACTCTAACCTCTTTGCAAGTCTTGATTAGCTATATGGGGCATACTGCAACAAAACCCAAAGTGAACATTGGTATTACCAAAAATTTCAGGGATCAATATTATTTGTTTAACCGCAACTGTATTACCAATGTAATTATTTGTTTTTCTTTTGTAATAACATTCATTTTCTACAGTGATTGTGTGTTTCTGTTCAGAAAGATTCAATTGGTAAAGGTAATCAATTTTTATTAACTTGTTATAAAATTTCATTTTTAAAACATGTAACATGTATATGGAAAATAACAAACATAATGGATTTACTGAATATGAAAGAACAATTAATTTTTTAGAAAAAGGTTGCAATTATGGTTATTCATCAATGGTTCTCAAATATGAATTTGCAGAATTACCCAAGTCTGAGAAAGACATATTTTTGATGGCCCAACTTAAAGCAATGGATGATGAATTAATAAGCCACAAAGCCTTTTGTATTTCTTCAGGGGTAACTTTCACGGCCCACTAACTCTGATTTGGATTTAATGTAATTCTGGCCAAAAACTTCAACAAATTGTGTCGATCATAACTTATGTTACGGTGCAGATCATCTATAATAATAATCATTAATATTAATTGCTTATAGTAACAATTGGTCAACTTCAAAATACTAAAACAAAAAAAATTAAAAAATTTAACCGATAAGTTTTATTGTTCACGACTCAGGCTTCAAAACTTATCGGCTGGTTTTTTTTTAAACTGAAAATTGGCTGAGCCTTAGCATTTTGAAAATTCCGAATTTTGTTATACACTTAAGAAATTGAGACTAAGTAAATTTCGTGTAACAATTTTTTTTTCATAGAATATTTTCTACAACATACATTTGATTTATTTGATTTATTTATTTCCTTTTTTTATTAATAAATAAAAGTTCTTTACAACAAAAAAGTTTAACGAACATATTACATTAAAAGAAAATCATTACCAAATTTGGTCGTGAGACTCAAAATATTGTAACACGAAAATTATTGAGCATAACTTTCAAATTTAAAAAATCTATTACTATGAAAAAGAAAATTTGAGACAAATTTTTTTTAGATTAACAGGCTCCATTTTTAAATCTGAATTGAATGATGGCGGTTTTTTTAAAATCCAATGTGTGGATCACATAATATTTCAAAAATTTTAACTTTTGAGTATAGATAATCCGCACTGTATTAAGGATTTACCAGAATTAGAATGTGTCACCGCAGAAAATTACCCAGAACTAATATTAATATAATGTATCACGCGTATTTTCATCCGGCTTAAAAAATATTCTTGCATTCACAATAGCACAATATTATCTATATTCCAACCTTATGGGAAGATCCTTTCTATTATCTAGAAAGAAGATTCCTTAACTTGAATGGAGTTGTAAATCATTGGAAACATCAATCACAACAATCACAGCTGAATTAAATTTTATGTTTTTAAAGAAACAAAACTTGTAAAATATTAAAGATGCTAATTGCTCAACTAACTAAAACGCAAATCAAATGGAATAATTTATCTAATGATCTCAAAGTGACAGTATTATTTCATTCTAATTGAATAATTGATTATACAAGAAGCTTTGGAGAAAATAATATACTCTTTATTAATACAGTCAACCCCCCTCTAAATGTACGCTCTTTTCCAGTTCCAAGCCATAAAATCATCTCTAAATGTACGATCTCCAATGGGGCGCATTTAGAAGGGTTGACTAAAAATTTATCTTTTGATAACAACAATCTAAAATATTTAAAATCCACTTTGTTTCCAAAAATACAAATTGTGTATTAGAAGTTTGTTTTCAACCATTTCTATTAAGACTTTTAGAATCAATGGAAACTCTGACAAAGGTTATTATAACTTGGTATTAAATCAGATGATTTGTTTAATAGTGTATAATAAAATATTAGAAGTTTTAAATCGAAATTTAATAATATCATACATGATAATAAGTTTTAACTTGCTACAGCAAAGATCTTTCAATTGGTATGCAAGAAAATATTTATTTATATACTACTTGTTTTAGAATTTCTTTGAAAGTTTTTTTGAAATAAAATAATAAGCAAATAATAAAAATAATATAACATAATAATAGTATAATTAGCAAAATATAACAATAGAATATATATAAAATGTATGTATGTGTATATACAAATAAAAACAAATCAATCAAAAATGTTAATAATAAAATTTTTGATAAAGGATTTTTTTCACGATGATAATGATAAATATGAATTCGCTCGTATAAATTTTTTTTTTTGATTTCCAAATCTAAAATCTTTTTTTACCCATGTGTGTGTATGTTACCTTTTCTATAAATATCTATAATTGTATAATTGTGTATATTTATGCCCATTTATATTTATATTTATGTATAAAATAAAAAATAAATATTCTTATTAAACAGTATTTTGAGATTTCATCGTGCCATCACTTCTATTTCCATTATCAAAATCACGATTATCAACACTAAAAGTACCATTAACACCAGCGTCGCTACCATTTACACGACGACGTTTATTTACACTACCACCAGCATCACTATTTTCAACGCTAACAGTAGCACTGGCAGCATCATCACCGTCGCCATCACCATCACCATCAGGATCAACATCAACATCGCCAGCTCCACCGCCATTAACATTATTACGACGACGTTTATTTCCACTACCACCAGCACCATTACGTGATTTCATAACTTCAAAACTTTGTAATAAATAATTTTTGCATCTAGCAGCGTTAGGAAGATCTTGAATCATTTTTCGTATAGTTGCTTGAGAGAACCCATAATAGTCAGGACCAGATGCTGAATTTGAATGATTACGTTGTCTGATTGCATTAGCCTCACGGACTACTGTTGTCCATGCACCTGTTGCTGTGTTTGCTATTATTGACTTTCCTGGTCGATCGTCAGGTTCAATAATAAACTATAATATATATTGTTTTGAAAGAAATAATTAGCAACAGATTCAGATATATAATGTGTGTGTGTATATAATAGTTATTACAAATATCAAAATAAAAATTACTTTAGGGCCACTTCCACCATCTTCAATTTTGCAAGTATACATTGTTTGATTGTTAGGATCAATCATGCTATTATATGACCTAAATATCACATCACAAAAAAAAATATTATTTAATAAACAAATCAACGTTACTAATTATTAATTATTAATTATTATATTTTACCTTCTGATAGTATATCCAACAGGAAAAATATACCGATCATTATGAAAAGCTTCACGATCATAAACAACATGACCTAAATCTAAGACAGTCAATATTCCAACTTGAACAGGTAATTTATAATTTCCCTCCCCATCTTTTTCAACATATTGTACTTTCATTGTTTTGGTATTCAATGGTTTTTTACTAGCTCGCTTCTTAGTATTGAGTGATATTGGGGATGTATTTACAATATTGTTGGCAGTAGGTGCGGGCGATGTGCTTCTTCTTGTTGAAGAAGAAGAAGTATTTGCAGTAGCGACAGTGGTTGATGTAGAGGTTGTTAACGTCGAAGAAGAAGAAGAAGATTTTCCACGATTCCCTTTAATTGTTAAAGTTCCATTAAGTTTTTGATGACGATTATGGTTATGTTGAATTTGATGATGTTGAATAATGTTATTTTGTATATTATTTTCAGCATCTTCTCCTATAATTTATTATATAAATATCATTGTTATTAGATACTATTACTAATTAGAGTAATGTAAAGAAAAACATCAATTTATTACCATCTGAAGAGGAATTGGAGTCACTATCAGAAGTTATATTACTGTTTCGTTTTTCGTAAATGCAAATACGATCTAAAAGTTGTCTAATAATTTATTTATTATTTGATGAATTAAAGTAAAAATACGATATATAAATTAATTATTCATGTATCTATTATAAGCGATAATACTATAAAGTGATATAATATAAGAAACATGTATTAAATTTACTCACTCCTTCTCCCTTCTTAAATTTCTTAATCTTTTACGTGACTTCTCAAGTTCTCTCGATAACCTATCAAAACCCTACCATATAAAAAATAATAATAAGCAATTATGTAAATAATAATGTAAATAATAATAATAATAAATGGAATAATTAATAATTATATCTAGATGAATTTTATCAATTAAGAGTTATGAAATAGAATGTTTAACGGGAGAGAAAACACAAAGATCTTGACACCGTATATATTCAGGAATAATAGCATTATTACTTACAACTTGTAATTCCTTGCCTTTTCTCTTCAACTTTTGATATCTTTCATATGGTACCATTGACATGTTGTTATTATTGTTACTATTATTATGATTGTTACCGTTATTATTAGTGTGGTTATTGCTTTGTGCCATACTTTTTCTTTTCATAATTAAAAAGAAAGTTAAAGGTTATTTTTTATTACTTATTTATTAAGTTATTTAAAATTATTTTTTTGAAGAATAAATGATTTTGAATACAAAAAAAAAGTGGGTTTTTTTTTGTGGAAAAGAAAAAAAAATTTTCCTTCTAAATAAATAAATTATTATATATATATGTGTGTATGTGTGTGTGTATATAGAAATATATATGGATGTGGTCGATAAATGCACAAAGAAAGAAATAAAGGAAGAAAGAATAATAATTACTTACCAACAAACAAAAAAAAGAATAAATTTTTTAAGGAAAGATCTGGAAAAATATTTTTATTTTTGAATGTATGTGTAAGAGCGTTTAAATATTTATTTAGAAAGTAAAGCGTAGTGTATGGAGTATGTAGTAATGTTGTGGTAATAATGTAGTGACTGTAATGTAGTTATATACTAATATTAATAATAATATTCAAAGTAAGTAGGTTTCTGTATTTAATTTTATTTTGAGAATAAAAGAAGTAATCCATATTTTTATAAAATTTTTTATAAAAATTCTTTATATATATATATATATATATATATTTATTTAAGGGGGGGTTTGATAATTATTATTTTATTATATTTGGTGGGAAGGTGAATGAAAAGTTCTCTTTCTTTTGGAGGAAGTTATAATAATTTGGATTCTAATTGGTTGAATTAAATCTTTGCCATGTTACACGATTTTGAATGATGGTAGCACAATCCTTTAGAAAAAATTTTTTCCTTGGTTTCCTGTTTTTTAAATGTGTAACAACACATTTTCACCTGGATGCTACATTTTATTACGTAGAAGGATTTGGCTGTATTTAATAATAATAATAATAATAATACAAAATTAATGGTTTACCCGTCTTTAGAAAATTTAAAATGTTGTTCATATCTAGAGAACTGGGTTTTACATGATTAATTAATATCAATACCAAGTAAATAATCAACAGCCAACGATCAATCAAATGTATGTAATATATATGGATGTTTCAATGATGACGACGATCGGCAAAGGCAAAAAATACACATCATATATAACTACGTAAGACAATAATCAAATAAAATTATTATCAATGATTATTATTATCATAATAAAAATAGAATATATCCAATACAAATTTATTAATTATTGTAAAACGTTTTAATCAATAATATTTATTTTTTCTCATAAAAATAGAATCAGGAAATATTTCAATTAGTGTGAGAAAAAAATAAATTACCTTTAAATTAATTTATCTTTCAAAGGGGAGAGTGATTAAAGAAAGGAAATTTTTGTTTGTAACAAAAAATTTTTATCTTTCAACTGGTATTTAATGAAACACAGAATTTCCTTTCTTGGGGCTAAAGAAATGTAGATCTTCAGTAGTTGCACAACAACAAAAACAGCCATCATCATCGTATCATCGTCAAAAAATGTTACTGATAAGATGGAAAAAATCCCTTGTGCTATTGACAATACTAAGATTGCATTATTTATTATTTATTTATTATCAAGATAATCTTATATAATTAATTTATCAAGAGTAATTAATTATAATTGATACTATAATATTATTAATATAAATATAAATAAATAATACGGATTTTCCCTAGTCACCAAATTTCTCATTTCATTCCTATTTCTCATTCACATCCCATTCTCATCCAATTGCAATTAATTCATCTTATTCATTAACTCTTTAATTATTCAAAATGAAAAGATTCATCACTCATCAAATCACTACTAAATATTGCAACAATTCAAATAAATATATTCGTCGAAGTTATAATGCTTCAAATAAATTATTTGATGTAAGTTCTCAAGTTTTTTCCCATCGATTTGAAAGGGATTTTTTTAAAATTACTTTTTTTTGTTTACTTAGACAGCAGTTTCAGAACATAAAAATGATTCATCATTGTTCGTATCAGAACCAAAAAAAAAAGTAGAAGCTGATAGGGTAAGTAAAAAAATCTATTTCCCAATTATTTTCATTTAAAATAACTGTAATTAACCCTTTTAATATTTATAGGATTTAATATTAGAAGTGTTACATACAGCTCCTAACCAACGTGAAATACAATCATATCTTAAACGATTCACGCCTTTCATTAATAAAATACAAAAAACTTCAAAGAACACCATAACACCACTAAAAAAAGCATTAGAAAAACCACAAACAGCAGAAGTATCGGCAGCAGCAACGACAACAGCAACTTCATCAGCATCCATAGACTCAACTCCAACAAAACCTTTAACTGCACAAGAACAATCCAAATTATTGATGTCATCCATCCAAAAAGCAGAGTTTGTTGATTCATTGTTTGCAACAAGATTTGAACATATTGCTTTAATAAAATTACAAGGTCCTTTTGTCCCTCTAAATTTAAATTATGTAGCAAAAACTTTGGTTCATCTGCAAAAGTTGGGTCTGATGTCAATCGTGGTATTGGATAATGATGAATGGAGGGAGTTGATGCGGGAAGGCCCTTCCTCATTTGTCAAATTAAGACATTGGATGATGGAGAATGCTACTGATGTTTCTCAAGCAATTGAAAATTGTGGTGGAAGAGCAACACCGATTTATAATGGTATTTTCTCGCTCAAAAATACAAATCGCAATAGCAATGGTTTTTTATCTACTAATACTAAAATTGATGTATCACTATCATGGCTTCAGTCAACGTTAAAATTAGGTCAAATTCCAATGATTCTTCCAATAGCATTAGATGAACAATCTATTCAAAAAACTCTATCACCAAATGATGGAATGATTGCATTAACAAAAGCATTATCGAATCTACCCGAAAACAACAGTTTAAACATAAAAAATCCTAAATTGGAACCAATGAGAATCATAGTTATAAATGAAGAAGGTGGTGTACCTGCTGAAGATCGTAAAGGCTCACATGTTTTCATTAATATTCAACAAGAATATGATGACATAAAAGAAAGTTATAAAGTCAATCCACAATGGAAATTAACTCATCCTACAGGACTAGAAAACTTTGAGATGATCAAATCTTGTCTAGAGATATGCCCTTCAACAACATCTGCTATAATGGTTCCATCATTTTCACCAACAGGCCTGATATCTAATCTGATAACTGATAAACCTTTATTCTCTTCATCTTTACCTCTGAATGCTCGAACCACTCCATCCACCTCAACCACTGTTATACGATATGGACTTCATGTCTATTATCATCACTCATTATCAAATATTAATATTCCTTCACTGCGATCGTTAATAGAGAGTTCGTTTGATCGCAAGTTGGATGTTGATGAGTATGTTAAAAGATTAAAAAAATGTTCAAGAGAGATCATTGTGGCTGGTGATTACCAAGGTGCAGCCATAGTCACGATTGAAGATTGTGGTATTGCTTACTTGGATAAATTTGCTGTTGCCCCCAGCACTCAAGGTATCGGCGTAGCTGATATTCTATGGAAACAATTACAACTTAGGTTCCCAAACTTGTTATGGAGATCTCGTAATGATAATGTCATTAATAAATGGTTAATAAGCATTTCATTTTAACTTTTTTTTGTTGATAAAAAATTATAATATTAAATTAAATATTAATATTTGTATTTGTTATGAATAGGTATTTTGAAAGATCTCATGGCAATTTAAAGGTTCCTGGCACTAATTGGATAATGTTTTGGCATGGCGATGAAGCAATTAATACATTAGACAAATGTATCAAAATTTGTCAAAAAGTTCCTGTTTCATTTTACCCAAGAAGGCTACCAATTGGAAAAAAATCACATGAAAAATATTGAATCCGTATCAACGTAATTTACCACTTGTTTATATGGGGTTATGAACATTTCACTTTATAAATTGATAAATGCTTTTCATCAGCTTCATAAATAAGAGCAACCTGAATCACGTAGTCACATATGGTGAATAGTTGCATGAAGTTAGCAATTAGCTTTAACTTGAAATCCTCAGATTGTAACTCTCATAGCAAATTTACAATACCTACACTATTTCTAATCATTGTCATTATCATACATCATCACCAACAATAATAACATTAAAATTATTTATTTATTATTTATTATTATTATTTATATTTTCAAAAAAATGATTTCATATAATGATTATTGATGTCTATTTTTAGAATACAATTAATATTAAGTATATATATATATCTGGTGCTTTTATACCATCCCGTTAGTATTTAGGAAAAAATTCCTAATTTGACTGAAAATTTTTATTACAATAAATAAATAATTTTTTAATTTTTGAAAACGATCTTGCAAGCAAGTATATAATTGAAAGTTGGTATATGATGAATGCCTTAGCAAAATTCCACATGACATCACATATGGGGCATACTGCAACAAAACCAGACAAAGTGAACATTTTATTATGTGATATGAATGAGAGGCTGATTGTGATGTGGCTGTAAAATTGACCAGTGTGACTGATGACATTTTGAAAAGTAATAATGGTGCTTGTTCATAACTTATGGACTTGTTAATTTTAATGCTCACTTTATCATACCAGAATGTGATGAATATAAACCATAACATGATTAATATATAGGATTACCTCTATATATAAAAATATTAATATGAAACTAATTTACATCAGATCTACTATGGAACCAAAGAATTACAGCACCATTAGAAGTATTTTAAAAAAAGAACAAGGTGAAAAAGTTGCTCCTTACATTTTCAAAATAAATGATACTCAGACACTGGAAGCTTATCTAAAAAAAGAAAGGATTACTTATGAAATTTACCATGAAGAAAGAAAAATAATAAATATTAGAAAAAGAAAGCATCATGATGATGCATTATTACCTAACAAAAAGCAAAAATCTTTAAAAAGAAAATAACTATGATAGCTAGAATGAATTTCAATTTATACAGAGAGAAATTTCCTCAATTATTTTTTTATTTTCAGTCAAGATCATCT